TTTAGAAGCATAATTGTAATAAAGACGAAATTATATTCTTAGGAATCCTCGGTTTAGTGGACTACGACTGCGTAGAAATCAACAATCTTCACCGGCAAGTTCTTCATGACGAAGAGAAAGTCGGTATGAATAAGGCATTGTCAATAGCAGCATCACTGAAGAAGCAAGTGTAATTATTGGATTTCTTTTGTGAATATTGATTAGAAAGCTTTCTTCGTCGTAGGTTGAATTCATTGATTGAAACTCGTACTCATGAAATCCTCTTGAACAAAGATAATGCCATGGGTGTCATAAGTACGTATGACATTGTGGTGGACTGCTCGGACAATGTTCCTACTCGTTACCTTTTGAATGATGCCTGCGTCTTGCTGAACAAGCCACTGGTTTCTGGAAGTGCGTTGAGGTACGATGGGCAATTGACTGTTTACCACTCCGATGGTGGTCCGTGTTATCGGTGCATATTTCCTAAGCCTCCGCCTCCATATACAGTGGCAAATTGTTCAGATGGTGGCGTTTTAGGCATGGGTGAGATGATTCTGTTCGAAGTAGGCTGGGTCCATTTTCTGAATTGACCGAATAAATTTTCTGACTAGTGCCTGGAATAATCGGTACTTTACAAGCGCTGGAAGTAGTGAAGCTACTCACAAAAACTGGGGATACTCTGCGTGGAAAATTGATGATTTTTGACGGTGCCAGCTCTTCATTCCGTAAAATCAAGCTGCGTGAACGTCGGGAGGATTGCTCAGTGTGTGGAAGATGTCCAACTATCACCGAGCTGCAAGATTATGAATTACTCTGTGGAGCATCTGCCAATGATAAAGACGCAGATGTTGATCTACTCGACGAGTTTGATCGCGTAGAAGTCAAGGAGTATAAGAGAATTGTTGATGTCTCGTCTCCTCATATTTTGTTGGACGTGAGACCGAAGGCGGAAGTGAGCATATGTGTCATCCCGGGATCAATCAATTTACCATTTAACAGCTTAACGAGACAAGTGTGCGATGAATCGTACGTCGGGCAGATATCCGAGCGTTGCGTGGAGTGTAATTCTTCGCCTGATCAACCCCTGCCAGGTATCCATCTCCAGATTTGAGTCATTTCAAGCGGTACAGTATTTTAATTTTTTGCTGGTTTACAGTTTTCGTCGTATGCAGGCGAGGAAATGATTCGCAAATCGTCGTCGAGACTTTGAAGAAGACCCTCGAGCAGTTACCTGTAGTTGTGAAAGATCTCAAGGGAGGGTTGCACGCGTGGGCATCGGACGTTGACCCTGAATTTCCAGTGTATTAGCATGTGTTGCAATATTTTGTGATGAACGTTTTTTTTCGGGTACCGGTTGTCTGAAGTTTTCGAATTTCCATTTTCCAGATGTAGTGTAACTTGAATAATGTGAAGTTATGTCAAATCAAGAAGTGGTCTATACTGGCTCTCCGTCCTCCTCGGG